TTTTTATATCCTGTATGACATAATTATTTGTCAGGCCTGAAAGTATTGACCCATCCATCATAAACCTGAAGAACCTTGGTTTATATTGTTGGGCAAAGAGGTTCAAGACCAGTGTAACCCTAATTATGGTCGTGGTCAAGGATGGTTAAGAAAGCAGATATTAAAAAGGTAGGCTAAATGGATACTTTCTCACTTGAGCATCTTTGATTGATCACTTCCTTATGTAAAATGTCAGTATGAATAGCAATATGATTAATCCTGATAATAATACATTAAATGTATTCCAAATGTATTTACGTAGTGATTCACATTTGATATGTATTCTTCCTTTACTATTTTCAACCCTGATGCTCTACAATTCCTGTCTTTTTCCATATCAAACTTGGAACTAAATACTACAATCTACTTTTTTTTAAACGTTGATATCTCTTTGAAAAGAAGCCAAGAAATATTTATAAATAAACACCCTTGTTGCAAGTTTTTCTCATCTTGTCAACCATACACACCCCTAACCGCTCCTACCCAAACCCGTGAGTTTAAAATTGCCAAGCAGTTTTACTTCTATCCGTCCTGACTTCTGGGCTGAGCCTGATTCACAAACTGCTCACTTCTCCTCCTCGTCGAAAGCCGAAGGTTGCAATCCATTGTTCTCTCCCAAGAGTGCAAATGAACCTTAGCGTTACCTGGAACACCTACCCTCTCGCACAGAAACGTGACCGTCCTGCGGCTCGATGCTCAATACACTCGCAGAGTACGACCCACCTTACACAGAAAGCGGCACAGGTCCTAATCCAGGCACTTGTCATCTCCGTCTGGATTACTCAACTCGCTGTTGCTGGGCTCCCTCTTGTGCCATTAAACCCCTACAACTTAACCAGAACGTGCAGCCTGTCTGGTGTTCAACCTTCCCAAGTTCTCTCATGTCACCCCGCTCCTCCGCACACTCCACTGGCTTCCAGTTGAGGCTCGCATCTACTACAAGACCATGGTGCTTGCCTACAGAGCTGTGAGGGGAACGGCACCTACCTTCAGGCTCTGATCAGACCCTACACCCAAACGAGGGCACTACGTTCATCCACCTCTGGCCTGCTAGCTCCCCTACCTCTACGGAAGCACAGTTCCCGCTCAGCCCAGTCAAAGCTATTCGCTGCTCTGGCACCCCAATGGTGGAACAAGCTCCCCCACGACGCCAGGACAGCGGAGTCACTGACCACCTTCCGGAGACACTTGAAACCCTACCTCTTTAAGGAATACCTGGAATAATATAAAGTAATCCTTCTTCCACCACCCCCCCCATAAAAAAAATAAAAATAAAAGTGGTTGTCCCACTGGCTATCATAAGTTGAATGCAACAATTTGTAAGTCGATCTGGATAAGAGCGTCTGCTAAATGATGTAAATGTACTAATTTTGTTGTTGTTGATATCTCTTTGAAAAGAAGCCAAGAAAAAGTGATAAACACCCTTGTTGGCAAGTGTTTTTCTGCCATCTTGTCAATACACATACACCACCCCCATACACCGCCCTCTACCCACACATATAGTGTGTTCCATAGAGTTTGATTTGAGGTCGTTGGTGTAACCTATATGGCTTGGGGGCCTGACGTCACTTGGAACAATGAGCTGGTTTTCCTCTTATACCCCAGTGTTTCACTCCACTGCTCTGCTCGTCCACAGGCAGATGACAAGGGAATGGAATGCAAAGCCAGCGGGCTGTGGAGCGTCAAAGGGGACCAGGCAGCACTGCTCCCCATAGAGTAGTATGATGATTCACCCTACTGCCGTCTGTCCTGTCCCACATTCACTCTCACACACATATGTTGGCAATGCGTTAACAGACAGGGCATGAGGGGAAGGTTCTGGAAAAAGCACTATGAGGGGAATGGAGGATGGGGAAAGGGGTTATGGTGGTGCTGTGGGAGTGCTGGTATAGTGGAGTTCAAAGCTCACAATTATGATTACACTTAGTTTTTAATATAGGTGTTCGTAGACAATGATGGACAATTAATGACATATTCCAGTTACAGTGTAATTACACGTTGGAGCATATCGTTGGGACACCAATGTGTTTTTTTGCAGGGCTTCTCCAATGAAGAAGAGAGGAAGTCAGGTGGACCTTCTCTGCCTGCGACCAAAACAAATTAACTTGTCCACCAGTACACCAGTGGAGAACAACCTGTTTTATAATGGTTTCTAGATCACAGACCTGCCAACATTATGAAAGTAAATGATTTGGGTAGACAAGAGTAATATCAATGCCTCAGCTCAGACATTTGTAATTGCACTGCATTGTTGCGTAAAATATGTCAAGAATGTTTAGACGACAGATGAGTTTCAGCCTGATAGGCTAGCTGTAGTGGTAGTAGAAGTTTGAGTTTGGCAGACATCTCTACACACAGTAGCCTAGAGTGTATAAACCAAGAGTTTACCAAGCATAGACTCTTACTGAGCTACTGATCTAACTATTGAGCACCATTAACAATGTTAACAACTATGTTATAACCAAATAGTTTACATTTAATAACAGGACATAGTCATGAAAAGAGTTTGAGGAACACTGTGAATCTGAGTGTGCACACTTTAACAAACAATGACCAGAAAAAGACGCACAAATCAAAGCTTAGATAGAGATTGTTTGTGAAGATATAACTCATAACCATAAAGGGCCAATCAGCAGTTGAAACAATACCACTGTTTTGGTAAAAATCTGAGGGATGGAGCTGGAGAAATGTAATCACTCTCAAATTCATAGACAGAGCTATGGATGCAAGGAATGACCATCCATGATATAAACATTATAGTTTGAACTATGTTTTGAGGCTATAAAGTGTTTGTTTACAAACATTGGAGTAAAACAGACTTATATTTTGGGTTCTGATGGGGTACGACAGTAAAACTAAGCTCATGAGGCATTTATAAGTTAAATTCTTCAAGAATCAATGGATACATATCATTAATTTATGTCTAAAAATGGATATAGCAGCTGTTGATTGCCCCTTTAAAGCTCACCTTAAAGTCTTGCTTTAGGTATGAGGCTGCGACTGTGATGACAAACTAAAATTATAGTGGAGCCTTATGTAATGTGGCCATAAACAGATTGTCAGTGAAATACAGAAGCGCACAAGCACAGAGAGAGAGAATAGCTGAGTGCGGGACCAAGCAAGGGTCTTATAAACATCTCAAGGAGAGAAGAGGCACACAGGAGGAATTTGGACACTTTATTTGGGCATGATGGGAGAAGGAAGGGCCATAACTGGCTGGAGTAGCAGCCCAAGTTGTAATGTGATGTGAAAGTGGAATCCCTCAAACTGATTATCAACTACTGTTACTTATTTGCTGTGCTGTGGTTTTTTTGGGGGTCATTTACAACAGAACCTATGAGGTGAGGTAGAGGTATCATCCAGTGAGAGGAAGCATAGGGAACATACCACACCTCCAGATTGGAAACCTCTGTTACGATTGTCTGTTTATTTGAACGCTAACATACTGGAAATACAGTCTTGAAGAGATGACAAGGTTCGGATAACATTACAACTTAAACTCAAACTGAATTAGAAACACAATAGTAATTAAAGAGCCATTAGAGAGGGTATACCTTGGTAGGAAAGACAGCTAGGCTAAAAATAGAGCTCAGGCAAAGGGAGCTGAGAAGAGAAGACAGGCTTTGGGAGAGCTACGAGATCCAAGAGAGGCAGACAAATTGTGCAAGTCATTATATTTGACAAAGCAAAGAAATAACGTGCACGTGTGTAGCTACAACTGTTGAGAAAGATGGAGAAGCAGCGAGAGACAGAACTGCTGTTCTGGATCGTAGAGGGGCATTTCCAAAGTTCCAGCTCCCCCTTCTCCACACCCTCATCCAGTCTGCCTGGCTATTTATGGTAGAAGGCCTCCTCAACCTAGGCTGAGAAGAATTCAGAAGGCTGGGTACTTAGACAGCCCAAATTATGGATGTCTATGTACAGTAGGACTGAACGTTTAAATAACTTCTGGGCTTGACTAATACATTTCTTGGTTAATTAATACCCAAGTGTCTGGGTGCGTTTATAAAGTGTTTGTGTATAATAGCTGATCGCAAAGTGCTATTTGATAAACTGGTTAAAAGTCATGTTAAATCCCCACTGAATTGTCAAGGGTTTTAAGTACCTTGTAAAACAAATCTGTTCTTTTTAAAGCCTCTCAGAAGTCTGGAATGTTGATTTCAGAGTTGTTGTTTTTTAGTCTGGGAAAGCTTTCTGCATAAATACCTCCTCAAACATCCCAATAATGCATGTATTACTTGAATGTAACAATATGTTGCTCAATAGGGCTGGCTAAAGACATGGGGAGCATGCATGCTGAATGGAACTGCTGAAAGCTGGAAAGATGCTATGTAAAAATGGAAAAGGAGATTTCACAAATATTTATAGACCTAAATTAACGAATCCATGTCTTCAAATACACTACCTACATACGATGTGACACAAGTAGCACCAACTGATTTGCAGATTCAGTCAAACTACAAAAACATTACAAGCACTGACGTCTGTGTATTTATGTTGTGTGCTAGTGTAGGTGAATTGGTGTGTGTTTTATGAGTGTGTAGCAGAAAAGATTTTCATTGAGTCTCATGTGACCATGTTTGGTAAAGCTCTCCAGGCACAGTCTGTGACCCAGCCCCTTGACCGGCGCACCCTGTAGAGCTGGATTCAATCAGAGCCCAACAGTGGCTCAGCTGCTTCTTTCTCCACCTCTCTCTAACTACTGTAGAATGGGCAGAGGAGGGGTAGCTGGCACCCTCTCACACAGGTAACTTATCTATCCTGTTGCCTAGTCACTTTATCCCTACCTATTTGTACATATCTACTAACATTTCCTCATACCCTGCACATCGACTCTGTAATGGTACCCCGTGTATACAGCCAAGCTATCATTGTGTATTTATTTCTCGTCTTACTTTTTTAATGTATTCTGCATTGTTGGGAAGGGGCTGTAAGTAAGCATTTCACTGTCAGTCTACACCTGTTGTTTATGAAGCATGTGACAATTCAAATTTGATGGACTAGCTGGACTGGACTGAGCCAGACATACCTTTGAAGGCTTAGAACCACCCAACCTCAGAACACTGCTGTACGCATTCTGACTACTATACTATGATGCATCCAACATGCAGTATTTTTCATAAAATTGTCTCAGTTTGTGTACACCAGTGTAAACAAAATACATGAAAGTCAATGGTGTTTGAATTCTTACTCTGAAGCCAGAAAGCAATGATTGAGACAAAATAAATAATCTGTCTTCAAATTTATTGAAGAGCAAAACTTTCAAGTAAGTCTCAACTTTCAGTGCTACAATGACATCATTAGTAGTGGTCATTGTAGACAATCTAAGTCACATGGTGTTGAGACAGGGGCCCTAAGGCCTGTGTATTGTTCTTTTCACATTAAAATATTCAGAAAATAATAATGTAACAAATTGCATTGCATTAAAATAAGAAATTAAAACAAAACAAAAAACAAAAACAAAAACACTGGCAACATTTGATCTATGATTTTTTTCCTCATTAGTTTGTGTTCACTCGTTTCATTACTATCATCATCACTATCATCATCACTTTATATTAATTATTTTCTTGACTTAATTGTTTCCATCTCTGCACCTCCTTGTGACATAAATGATGCGACTGCTGCGGTCTACAAATATGCTCCACAGGTGAAGCAAGACTATACGAGAGAGTCCACAAAGAGCTGGGGCAAGATTTTCTGGCCAATCCATGGCATTTAGTACCAAATGGCTAAAAGTATTGTGATGCTGCTATGTTCAACCTTACAAAGAGATGAAAATACCTGCAATGCAGCTGAAATAAATGCAACGGTCCTACCAGTTCTTCCAGGAGCTACAATATGTCCTAATTTTTCACCAGGGCCTGAGACCATTTGTACCTTCTCTAAATACACAATGTTAGCCTTTCAAAGAGATAAAAGGCCACATGGTTATTTCTTGCTGATACAAGTGCACTCGGGCTTGATGTTACTGAAACCGCCATGTCACTTCCTCATTTCCAAAAACCAAAACTTTGACGATTTTAAATCACTCAGAGGTCTACATTGCAATTCAACACCACAGACGCACTGCAGTCAGTGACAAACACTACACATCCAACTCATAGTTTGTGCTAACATTGGACAGAAGTACAACCTCTTTCACAGGCATCCGAAGCTGACTTAAATGCACACCACAGCCTACTGGAGTACCAGAAATCTCATTATCAGGTTACACATGTACTTGACTAATGAATGATACAAACATGTTGCACTATTCACAGCTTGAATTATTGGAGGACTGGGTGAGAAGAGTGAGCCAAATCCCACTATCTTCTCAACCGAGCTTGAAGTAGCTAAATAACTAAATGTCAAGAATTACATTTCCAATCTCATCTTCATCCTGGTCATAACCAGCAGCGTGCCTCTTTAAGCCACTTCCCACTCCTCCTAATACCACTAAACCACCACAACATTCATATCGAGGCCTGCTCCCGTATTCAGAAGAAACACAAGCAGGCCCTACAGAGGGGTCAACTTTGGATAATACTTGTCTGGATTCATTATTGTGCAGGGTACAAAAATATATACATAACAGTATCCATAGAGAGAAGAGATTACAATAGCAAGAAAAAAAGGAAAACAAACACTAGTTTTACATTAAAATGTCATGCTAATCTCTACCTGACTGCATTAGATTTCCTGTTTGCGTAAAGGCACGACAATACAACCCTCCTCGGTGGTACATGGAGGGGGCTCAAAAAGTTATTGCTCCATCATGGGGAGTGTGCTTTAATTCCACAGTGAAAAGTCGAACATTTCAGACCCCCGTCCCAAACGATCTCAACGCTTTATGGACAGGAGGGGGACAGAAAACAAAACACTTAACATGCACTCAATACAGTTGGGTGAAAAACATAAAATGCACTGATTAAAATTAATTGCAGAGGAACCCATAGATTAATGCAATTCATATTTATCCTGTTTAGTGATCCAAACTAGTTATGGGAGACTATAAATCATCATAATCCAAAGTTTTCTTAACATGCTCTCAGTGAATTGAAATCAATCAAATCAACTTGATTTGAAAGGAAGATTTCCAACTGAGTTATACAGTATGAGAGCACATAACTACACCTACAGTATAACATTGCCAGTTTATGGCTGTTGTCAGATTGGTAATTCATAATTGATCATACATGAATATCTATATAAACTATTTTGAACATCATATTTCTAGCATTCCTATGGCTGACATTCTGTAGGCGGAAAAGCACCTAAGCCAGGAGAATGCTTCCCCCCAAAAGGGACCCGCTCTTGTTCCAAATTCAGTTCTCACAAAAACACAGAAAATAGAAGAGAGAAATGGAAGTTAAAAGCCCCAGCGGTGCCTCAGATAGAGAACAAGTGTGGAGTTTAACAGTAGTGTTACACTGCAGTGGCTGGGAAAACTCTCCAGAGAGAGAGAGAAAACATCCTTTCCAGTCCACTGAACTAGAGATACTGGATGAGATCTTTTCAAAGGCTAAAACATCTTTACAGAAGGAGAAAAAAACCTCATTGTGATTATTCTCATATGGAGGGACTGACAAGTCATTATAAGGCAGGGGAGGTAGAACAGAAGCATCAAACTGGATGGATTTAACCACTCCGCTGTGACAGAGGGTTATGATAGTGTAGTGAAGTTAAGACGCGTTGATATCAATTCCTGGTTTTGAGGTTGAGTAACAGGAGGAACAAATGGGATAACTGAGACCCCAGAGTCCCGAAACAGAGCAGAGCCAGACCCTGGATGAGATGAGGCAAAAGCATCCAATGAAAAACAATGATTCTGGAGAGTTAGCGGTAGGATCCAATCCCCACATCCCTGTCTCCTTTTCCCCTGGATGTGCATCCAGGCTGTCGATGGGAAATCCAGTGGTGATTCAATCTGAACTGTTGCTGTGAGTGGGGGACCAGTCTGGTGGCGATGTAGGTGGTGTTCATAAAAAGGAGGCCACAGCAAATGCAGTAAGAGGCATTGTGGTGCCTCTGTCTGTCAAACTAGCATAAACTGGCACACTAAGAGGTCCTTATTCTGTGGGCCAAGCAGGAGGCTCTCCTCTGGGTGGACGGGTCATGGAACTGAAAAGAGTAAAGGATGGTGGCCGGGGGAGAGGGGGAGTTTCTGACAGAGCCAGGGTACGTTTTCTTCTTTTATTGCTTTCTACCTGTCCATCACAGGCACTTCAGATGACTGGACTTAGGTTGAAGTTGAACAAGAATGAGTGTACTTAACAGCTACTCTGCCATCTCCAACCAAACCCAGCCAGGGTACCACCACACCATCGATGAAACACTGAGGTACAGAAGCTAGTGTGGAACCAGTCTCATTCTGTGAGGCTGAAACTGATCAGGACCTGACCCCATTCTGCTACGTGATTTCAGGGGATGGAGAGAATAGCAAGGCTGGGGCTAGTAGGGGCTATAAGAGCCCTTGAAGTCCTGTCTCGCTTTCACAGAGTCTCTGTCTATGTCCCCCCCTCCTGCCAGTATCTCTTAGTCTGTGTGGGTATTCACATGGTTCTGCTTGAGCGGGGAGACCTCTTTGGCCTTCCTGCCGCTGGCGCCCATCATAACCTTGTAGCAGCCGCGGGCGATCTTGTACATCCAGATGGTGTTGAGGATGTCCAGGGCGATGCAGGATGTGATCCAGGCCACCTGAGCACCGATGCCCAGGCGCTCAAAGGCCTCCGTGCCGAAGGTGGAAAACACCCGGGCCCAGTAGGGCGGCATGACGAAGATGCGCACCATGAAGAAGACCACTGCCATGGCCATGCCGTTGGCCACCACCAAGCGGTCCGAGCGAGGGTACTTCAGCACCTCGTAGAACCACCTATACATGGAGGAGAACAGGAATAATGTCAACACTGACAGAGATAGGGGCTGATAAACAGGAGAAGGAGTATTCATAAAACTGTAGTAAAAGTGGAGCTAGCTTACCTTTGGTTCACAAAAGGTGTGGATAACTCTGAAATGAGACGGAAGTTGGCGAAATAGGGAAGCACGCCACGAGACTGCAGAGCATAAAGATGTATTACCACAAATAGACATGGGCAGAAATAAACTAAAACAAACTAAAACGTGCAACACCTTTAGAAAGAACACTGAGTATTTGAATAACAAAACCCAAAGGAACCAAATAACCATCTAATAATAGCCATTGTGCTCATGGTATTTATTCCACCAGACTCACCAAGACATAACCATATGCATAGAGCGCCGCCAAGTGGTGACAGACAAAAAAGCTGTCCCCCATTGTGCTCCAGTTGGTGGCCAGAAGCACAAGGTCTACACAGAACAACAAGTGGGTGGTTAGCACACAGCTTATTATTTCCATCTACTGTCCACAGAGAAATGTGTATGGCTTATTATTATTATACAAGAGGATAAACATGAGGAGAGAGACTCACCATAGAGCAAATAACCACATGTTATGGCCACATTAAGTTTCACTAGTCCAGGCTCCCCCCTGTACAGCAAAAACAAAACAAAGTGTTCTTTCAGAATAACAGTTGCCACATTACAGATTAATGCTAAAACTAAAACAGAAACAAAAGCTACTTACAATTTCACAGAAATGTACTGAAGTCTACAAAACATTCTACATACAAAACATTCTACATAATGTATTATTGCAAAGTCTACTGCAGGGGTCTCCAACCTTTACTAGCATGAGAGCTACTTTTTAAAATGAAACGTCACAAGCTACAATTTATTTTCTAGCTTTCAAATAGGCACATTCTTCTCTTCTCGGGTCCTTACTGCACAAGAGAAAGTAGTGCATTATGTTTACTGTCAATATACCTGGTAAAATGCTTTTTTTGTGAAATTCCCCTTTAATTGCGCATCTGGTCATTTAACATTTAATTGAAAAGGTTGAGGAAAGTATTTCTGTCAACCCACAAGACGGTTATCACATCTACTGGCTACACACGGAGTGATAGACAAACGCGCTTACCACACACAGACACGGGCAATATTGCTGGAAATTAATTGGCAGATATTGTGCTAGGCTTGGCTTTTTAAGCCAATAGTGGCTAACCAGGGGTGGGATAATGTCAACGTTGCGTTGATTAGATAGTAGCTGGGAGCCTGCGGTGTTTGATACTTGTGAGGTTTCTTTATGACAGTTTGCGGTGGAACACGTGAAAATTGCATGTACCTTCAGAATTCTTTGACAGGAGTTACTCATAGGTGGGCTGCGAGCTACTGGCAGCTTGCGATCGACTTGTTGGAGACCCCTGGTCTACTGAGTAATGGCCATGTCATGAGTCATAGTCTTGCTACTACTAAAGATAACTGTGTCCAGGGAAGGTCCAGTTTAAACAGCACTGTGTTGACAAATGCGTTGTGCTCACATAGAGGGTGTGTTTCTGTTTGCCTGCTGTATCCTTGTGTGCTCTTGGACAAATACGTGTCAGGATGTGTGTCCATGTGTGAGTAGTAGCCTGCATATAGTACATACTGTAAGAATGAGTACCACTGTTCTCTTGACTGTAGGAGTGGACTGTATGGCTCAGGTGCTTGGACAAGGTTTTGGCAATGCCATGGTTATAGGTTCATTGTATCACATGGGCCACATTTACTGCCTAGGCCTGTGTGTTGACTGTACTGCAAGTGGCTCTTGACAAGAGCATCTGCTAAGTGACTGTGGTTCATAATGTGTGTCTGCCTCAGTAAAGTGACATTGTAACTGATATTGGCCTCTCTCCATCACAGGGATCCTGTTGCTGCGGGCTGGGTCATGGCTCCTCTGTAACAGCACACCACGACGTGCCCTCTGGATTACACAGGAGAGGAGGGCTCCACATGACACCGCCCTCCCTCACCTCTCCCAACCTTCACCCCAATGTACCAGGCCTGCACCAGTCTGTGTATGTCTGAGTGCAACATCCTCTCTGACCCCCACTTCTAGACTCATGTAACCACGATCAATGTTATGTGCAGCCAATCGTTTCTCCACTTTATCATGTCTACTGTACATCCAGGAGCCCACCATCAGCCTAATCTATTCACCCTTGTCCATATAGAGAATCAAAGCCATTCGTAGATAAACTTGTGAATCAGTTAAAACTAAGAGATAAACTTCAGGTCAGGATGAGATGGGTCCAAAGGTTATCCGATTACATCACTGATCCAGGTACGGCAGGGTGGCAGGTAGCCTAGCGGTTAGAGGCGAGCCAGCAACCGGAAGGTTGCCAGTTTGAATCCCGGGTCCGACGGGAAAAATCTGTCGGGAAGTGTGCTGGCAACCGGAGGGTTGCTGGCATCAAATCCTAGATTTCATTGCCTGCCGTTGTGTCCTTGAGCAAGGCACTTAACCACCTACAACAACAGTGTGGTATCTCTCCAAAACCTGTATATTTATGTGTATGTATGGGTCTTTCAGAGAGATTGGGTTAAAAAGCGGAAGTCAAATTTCAGTTGGACCTTGTGTGCATTTGACCAATAAAGTGATCTTAATCTTACAGTAAGCCACACCTGGGGTTACATCAGTGAACTCTGATCAACCAACTGAGCACCATTGTTTAAAACCAATTGAGTCTGTATTCTGCTCCCACTGGTTACATCGCACTTTTCAAACTCAGATAAACGCTTCAGATTGATTGGATTACGATGACAAAACCCAGGCAGAACCACCAGAGTGATGTTGCGAGAAGCTGAATCTGTCACAATGCAGGTTTTAGGGCGGTTAATTCTGTGAAGCCCAGCACAATGCCAGTCTGTGGCATGTCTAAATGACGCTGTAATGCAATCAGATTGTCTGAAGATTTAATGCTTACGCCATTCAGTGTTGCAATAAGAGGAACTAGCTACAGCGCTAGCAAAATAACATGGCTACCAGTCTAAATAGAGGAAAAGTAAGAAACTAAAAGAGATTGGCAGGAAAGCAAATACGTAAATGACACAAAAGGATAGTACCAATACTACACAGACAATCACACCCCTCTGAATCACACCCCTATGAAAGTAAAGGAACAACAAAGAACAGAGAAGGAAAAAGAGAGTAGTCTAAATGTGAGACATTAGGACAGAGCAGATGAAGGGTGGTGGCGGGGCTCCTCCCCATTGGCCCTTTGCTTTCCCTTTTCTCCGCTCCATCAGCAACAGACAGACAATGAGAGCGAGGGAAGTGCTGTATTGATCATACAGCCAGAGATGTGGGGTGCTGCTGGGGGGGGGGTCAGGGGGACTCAGGGTAGGGGGGGGACACCAGAAGGAAGAGGGGGGCTGTAGACTGGGCTGCTGTTGTTTGCTATGAAAAGGAGCCTTGTTGGCAGGACTCTGGCTTGTCTGATCAGAGGAAGAGAAACAGAAGGAGAGAGAAGAGAGAGTAGAAGACAGAGAAAGAGAAGGGATAGGGAGGGAGTGAGGGATAGGGGGAAATTACCATTCCTCTCTTTCAGGATTCAATGATGTAAATCACACAGTCAGCAGTAGGAGAGAGAAACATAGAAAATACAATGAAAGGACAAATCCACTGAATATACACCTCTCTGGAGACTCCACTGAGATTTCTCCTCTACTTCTCTCTGACAGTGGGGAATGGCAGCGCCATCATTCCCCTAATGTATAGATCGTCCCTCCCTCCCTTCTGTTTCCTTCCCTCCCTCTTGGGGTAGGCTAGTAGCCATGGCTGATGGAGTGACAGACAGTATTTCAGTTCATCTTACCAGACGGGGTCTGCGTTGACGGCATCATCAAACCACAGGATGTAGAGACAGAAGAGGCCCACAATCAGAGCATGGACAGTGGACACCAATCTGGGCAAGCACACAGAAACAGGGACAGTTAGCGCAATGGCAGAGAATGATGCAAGACTACCACCACGGCAGCAGTAATACCAATAAACAGTTCAAGTAACATAACAATAACATCCTTTATAGCACTGAGAACACAATGAAGAAACCTAAGCTCATTTGGGCCATGTGGAACCTTGGCAATGGAACTAATGAAGGAGAATCGTGTGTGTGTGTAACCATTATCAGGTCTCGTTGACCTCTGGGAATCTTTATCTGGGCCAGTGCTCCCACGGCTCTTATCTCCCCTCACACACAGTCCCCTCACTGTCACCAGACCCTGGGCACACCAGCTGTCCCACAGGCCTGGCAACACTGGCTCCACAGACCAGCCACTGTACGAGTACCATCATGTTATTTTAGTGTCACCATTATAAAGTGACTGTGACAGCGTATAACAGCCATGACCAAGACAGAGTGGAATTTTTTGGGGGTCAACGACAGTCGCTTATGAAACAGAAGGGGCAAGTGCGTTTGCTCTCCCGCTCACCCACTTGAATATCTAGCTAGTGACGTCGTGTTCCTTAGCCTATGCCTCAGGCCTCAGGCTTACATCCCTGCTGTGCAGCTTTCTGTAAATATTCTCTGTGCCCCTTTACAACTAAGGCGTAAATAAACGAAACACACTGACACACTCGGAGCCGTTATGCAATCCAACTGCAGCCACTATCAGTGCTTGACCTTTGGCTTGTTGTGCCATGGTACACACATCCTGTCGCAGTGTTCAGTGTGCATGACCCACTGTATGAACTGAGGCTCAGGGGGGTAAAGGGCAATGTTCCCTCTTAGCTGCCCGCGGTCACGCAGTAGCCCTGGGACTGCCACTCAGAAGAAATATCAGCCCACAGAGAGAAGCAAAGATTGAACTTCACTCAACTTTCTAGCAGTGGTCACAAAAAGGTTGATTGCGATCGACTGGTATATCTCCAAGGCATTCCTAGTCGATCGCCAAACATTTCTGTAAAAAACCTAATGATAAAGCGTTGTGTTCCTATTTTTCTTTTTTATTCGTCTCGGGCTGTTGGCAGTAGGTGCACCTGATTCAGCTGCCCTGCGCGCCGGGTAGGAGAACTGTTGCCATTTTGAACCAATTCATATGTCTGAAGGTACAAACTCTGCCTTCCCGGCGGGCCCGGAGCAAATCAAGTGCACTATAGGTCTACCGCTGGCCAATCGGATGGCTCAGATTACCGTGAGGGCAGTAACGTAGCAGGCATAAAGGAAAGCTACAGCAAAATTGATACTGTGAGATTTCAAAACCATGACTAGAGAGACTGTCAACGAATACAGCAAAGAGCTGCTGTTTTTATGAGTTAGTTCATGTTGAAGTTCTTACTCAGCACTGTCAACACTTTGTATTCAACACTTATAAGCCATAAAATGTGTGTTCTTCCCATTTCCACTCAGCCCTACAACAAGCACTGCAGCAGTAATGAATGGGTAGGAAAGTGTATCAATAGGCTTGTGTTGTTGTTATTAGCCGCTTGGGTCTTTTTAATATCGAAGAATATTTCACTTTCTCTGTTCATTAGAGTAACAACATGAATTTAAGCATGACACAGAAATAATGCGGTGCGACTATAACAATGCAGCCATCAGCTGGAAGACGGTGTCCCTTTTTGGTCAGTGTCAGTGGAGGAAAGGGAGAGCGGATGGATGTTGAGAGGCGGACCCTCATTCTGCTGTTCTCTCCCTCTGCTGAGACTGACCATCAGATGCAGGCACCATCAGCCCAGTAAAATAAAAAGCTAATTATTTAAATGTATGCTCACTCAGCTGTGCCTCACAAGTAATACAACAACGGATCTATTACCAGTGTGATCATATAGCCTACCTTGAATATAGAACTATAAATGTTAAAAATGTCACAAACATTGGCAGGGCAATTCAAGCAAAGCCAATATGTGGTGATAATGTATTGGGCCTATGGCTTACTGCACAAACCTGATTGCTACAGTACTGTTTTTAATTGGTTAATGTTGCATAGGCGTACGTTCTTTAAGTCATGTTTTTTTTTAATCTGAGCGATAGATCTCAGCTTGTATTTTGACTCAGAAAGTGATCTTGACTCAGAAAAGGTTGGTGACCACTATTCTATAGATTTCCCTGTTAACACGATCAACATTTCCCTTTACTGTGGCAATTGTGATCGAATCAACGCAATATTACCCACTTTCAATGCAACATACCGAAACAAAACCAACTATGCAAGAGATTTTGTTGTAGGCAGAACGCATTGGAGTAGAATTCTATTGCATTGACACGCACTACTCAGCCTGTACTCTACACAGACCAGTGCGACATAAACAAATCAGAACTGCAGTAGCTCTATATGCAAATAGACCATATATGGATCTGTGCCATTTACTTTGAACTGGACTGTGTTTACAGCATGCGTGGTCGTGAGTAGAAGCGCTTGTTTTGAGATCAAAGCGAGAGCTACATGTAGCCACGTGCACATTTTGTTCATATCCTTTGCTAGTTAGTGAGTTATTAGCCCAGTTATAGATAATATGTAGTCAGCAATAGGGGAGTGACTGCTTCCTACAAGAGCACAACCATGTACATTTCTAGACATATTTGAAAAGCGAGTCAGGTAAAAGGTGCAGTGTTGTATTTTGAGACCGGCTTGAATAAGCTAAGTAGCCATAAGGCAGAGGGGAGCATAATTTGTCTGATTCTCTGTAATAATGGTATGGAAATAATAATGCATTTTATTTTGTAAAGTGGTTTCTTGCATCAAATACCACAACATTTTCAGTCATCTCCTGGTCTGAAGGACAAGTGGATAAACAGGTTAATGTCAAGCCCTGCATGTTTTTTTCAAAAGTCTCATGGAATGTAGGCCTACATTGAACACCACACATTAGCTGCTACTGTAGGCTGAATGATAGAACAGCTATTTCCATGTTAAAATGTTATGGGATGCATTTTCTCCCTTGTTTTTGATGGAGGCCTACATTATGATCAAATAGCCACAGTAGCCTACATGGACACTGTTAAAACTGTAACTTAAAGCGGGTACAGCCTCAGTTTTTTAGGGAACATTGGTAAAGGGTTAATGGTGGGTACAGCCCACCAGGTCAAGACAAACTGATACCAGAGAAGAGATACCATCCAGTACATGGAGTACCTCATTACAAAACGGCAATTGGCAACTTTTGAACTTAACCCCAAACTAATTACACGTTTCTGGTCTTTGAATTCAAAGCCCAGCCCCTGACGTGTACTATGGATTGTTGATAAGATGACCCATGACAACCTAAATGACAATACTGTAGATAGATAATTAAGACCTGTCTGATTAGAGCTGCAGTATCAGCACAATAAAACCATTTGAACGCAAAACCAGTCCACTAGCAATGTAGAGAATCAATATCTACACAATCATTAACTTGTTAGCCTACATTTTGATCATTTCAGACCTCAGATTTCACATGAATATCAGTGTGCCTGGGTTAATGTCTGATAAAGGTGGGTTATAGCAGAGTGGGTACAGTACTAGTCTATAATGTGAAACCTGCTAGAGAGGCCTGTTGGAAGGGTATTGTACCTGGAGTTCCACTCAGTGAGCTTGGTGGGTGGCAGGCGGCTGTAGCCAGGGGTGAAGGTTGAGGAGAACAGTGGGCTAGCCACGGAGAAGAGCAACTGAAACCCCACGAAGCTACCAGCCACCACGGTCAACTCTCTCGTCTCCATCACTCACCTACAGTATACCACACCAGGAGAGAGACAGGAAAAGAGAGGGTGAGAGGCATGTACTGTTACTGTACAGAAGACACAATACCCCTAGACTGGCAGGGGGAATGTAGAGGGGGGCCGGAAGGATGGAGGGAATAGGAGAAGAAGTGGAGGATGGAAGGGATGGAGGAAAACACAGTGGCAGAGGAGGGACAGGAGGGCAAGGGAGAGAGCAATTGAAAAGGAGATGGTGGTAAAAGAGCAGAAACAAGAGAAAATAACTCCTTCATTATTGGAAAAATATTTTGCAAGGGGATTAAATGTGCAATTGTGTTATAAATGTCAAAAATTTTATAAATTGATTTGCATTTTAATGAGGGAAATAAGTATTTGACCCCCTCTCAATCAGAAAGATTTCTGGCTCCCAGGTGTCTTTTATACAGGTAACGAGCTGAGATTAGGAGCACACTCTTAAAGGGAGTGCTCCTAATCTCAGTTTGTTACCTGTATAAAAAGACACCTGTCCATAGAAGCAATCAATCAATCAGATTCCAAACTCCACCATGGCCAAGACCAAAGAGCTCTCCAATGATGTCAGGGACAAGATTGTAGACCTACACAAGGCTGGAATGGGCTACAAGACCATCGCCAAGCAGCTTGGTGAGAAGGTGACAACAGTTGGTGCGATTATTCGCAAATGGAAGAAACACAAAAGGACTGTCAATCTCCCTCGGCCTGGGGCTCCATGCAAGATCTCACCTCGTGGAGTTGCAATGATCATGAGAACGGTGAGGAATCAGCCCAGAACTACACGGGAGGATCTTGTCAATGATCTCAAGGCAGCTGGGACCATAGTCACCAAGAAAACATTTGGTAACACACTATGCCGTGAAGGACTGAAATCCTGCAGCGCCCGCAAGGTCCCCCTGCTCAAGAAAGCACATATACAGGCCCGTCTGAAGTTTGCCAATGAATATCTGAATGATTCAAAGGAGAACTGGGTAAAAGTGTTGTGGTCAGATGAGACCAAAATCGAGCTCCTTGGCATCACCTCAACTCGCCGTGTTTGGAGGAGGAGGAATGCTGCCTATGACCCCAAGAACACCATCAAACATGGAGGTGGAAACATTATGCTTTGGGGGTGTTTTTCTGCTAAGGGGACAGGACAACTTCACCGCATCAAAGGGACAATGGACGGGGCCATGTACCGTCAAATCTTGGGTGAGAACCTCCTTCCCTCAACCAGGGCACTGAAAATGGGTCGTGGATGGGTATTCCTGCATGACAATGACCCAAAACACGGCCAAGGCAACAAAGGAGTGGCTCAAGAAGAAGCACATTAAGGTCCTGGAGTGGCCTAGCCAGTCTCCAGACCTTAATCCCATAGAAAATCTGTGGAGGGAGCTGAAGGTCCGAGTTGCCAAACGTCAGCCTCGAAACCTTAATGACTTGGAGAAGATCTGCAAAGAGGAGTGGAACAAAATCCCTCCTGAGATGTGTGCAAACCTGGTGGCCAACTACAAGAAACGTCTGACCTCTGTGATTGCCAACAAGGGTTTTGACACCAAGTACTAAGTCATGTTTTGCAGAGGGGTCATATACTTATTTCCCTCATTAAAATGCAAATCAATTTATAACATTTTTGACATGCATTTTTCTGGATTTTGTTGTTCTTATTCTGTCTCTCACTGTTCAAATAAACCTACCATTAAAATTATAGACTGATCATGTCTTTGTCAGTGGGCAAACGTACAAAATCAGCAGGGGATCAAATACTTTTTTCCCCTCACTGTAGAAAGACTGACAAAGTCTAGAAACTAGCAGCGTATGTGTGTAGGGGTCATTGCCCTGCAGTGTCCAGCGGTGGAGAGTATAGTTGAGTAGCCTGAGGACAGGCATGGATCAACTGCAGCACTATTACATAGTATCAACTGAGCGCTTGGGGTCCATGCTACCTGTTTACACTGTATTAAGAAACAGCCACCCAGTCCCTTGACCTCCTTTTCCCAGAAGAGGGATTATGATTCATGAAGAATTGGACTTTCAGTCAACTCAAAAAGGTCCTCAGAGCTACTGGCTCTTTGACTGAGGTCCATGACTGGTCATGTGTTCTCACCTCGACCCTCAGAGTTCAAGGAACTACAATACCAACATTGCAAAACCTGCATCTGCGACCATTAAGTCCACAAGAATCTGAAATCCAGAGAAAATGGCTACTTGGATGAAGCAACAACAATATTCTCTAAGGTTCTAATCGCTTTTCCAAGTCCAAACAATGTGCTGCCGCTTACAATTGGGTAAGGCAACTGATTAGATGACTGGTCACCAACAGGGAGATTCTACTGATATTGGAGAAAGTCTATTGTTTCTCTAATATCACTAGACCTAAGCCCAATATGTTTTAACCTATGCCATAACTGGCACATTAAACTTGTACAGTAGGTTCTAATACTCAAAAAATACAATGTTATGATACCATGTCATAACTACATACTGTTCTCTACCCCTATAGGCCTACATGAAAAGAAAATAGGACTGGACCCACAGAGCGACAGCCGGACAATAGGGAACGCCCCATGTTCACTCAGGGTCTACAGTGTCAACATCAACACGTTTACAGTACAAAGGAGAATTGGTACAGTACAGCCTAATGCAGCTTCAGTCTGATACAAACCAATTTACTGTTTAACATAGGCTACTACGTTCCACAGTTCCATGTGCTCTGAGCAAAATCATTTTTCAATCTCCAGATCTATGGATGTGAGGACAGGCCATTGTGTCAAGCTGATCAACACTATCACAGGAGACCTTAGCCTAGCTATTGCAGTGGCCCATACAATAACCCCAGCTCTCCCTGGAATGGCCTAACTCTGTAAGCAATCAGGAATTTGTAGTATTATCAAGATAGCATTTGGACCAATAAAATAGCTGTGTTTGAGAGAAGCCTCATTGTTCCAGAACACATTCCTGGAGCATGCCGATCATATGCTGCATGTGCTTCAATTATTCATTAGCATTCTTCACCTGGCAAGCTGGTTCTGACTGCCTAGGAGGGCTGAGGCGCACATACCAGACAACCACCATCCACTTTTGACCTTGTTCTCCTGCACTATATGCTGCTGTCAGCAAACTATGACCCTTTCGTATATCGAGCAACATAAATTGCGGTTCAATTTCCCCTGTTCCAGTGGAAATATAAAACGTCCCCTCTCTCCTGCAATGCATAGGCCATTGAGGTGACCGTTTTAAGAAGACATAATGTTCAAAACATAAAATGAATTGAATATTTTTACAGTCTAAATGTAGCTAATTTGACGGTACAATTACGACTGGCATTATAGGCCAGCTGACAAGTGATGAGATTTCCTTTCACTCCAATAACGCAAATCTTGGGATGCAGACAAAAATCGGACTCTTCCTCGCCATTCACCGGTACGAACGCTTGTGCTAATGAGTACAATTACTTGCCCTGGCCTAGAGTTCAAAATAATGAGGATATTAAACATAACTGGTAAATGGACAGCTTCTCCCCTGTGTGTAGTGCCCTTTCTTGCGGAGGCAGATAGCTACATAATCATGCATTACTTGTCAGCACAGTCCTATAGTTCTCTGCGACGCATGACACAGCAAACGTGTGCTCGACAATAAACGTGTAAAATGCTTCGAATTTCGGCAACATTGTCGCCAGTAGCACACTTTCCAGTTTAGCCACAAGCACAAGTAACGTTAGCCTAACCAAGCTAGCTACACGAATTTGAGAGCAAAGTCATTGACTAGAAAACAGTGCTACTGTATACAGCCACAATCAGGGTCGTATTCATTGGTCCGTATTGCGGTCACTAGATGTTTAATTCATGCAAATTGCAGTGCATTAGCTCAATGTATCGCTGTGTTGTGAGGTGAACAAAATAAGTGAAAGGCTAGCTAGATAAATAAATAACTACCTGATATTAGTCGCATAGGTCTGAGTAAGTTGGTCTAGCTTCTGTTCAGCTGCCGTCTTCTTTCACTTTCTTAGCTAGCTAACTTAGCAAGTCAGCTAGCTAGCGGTAGCCCACTAGCTAGCTCTCTCCTAAATCAGCTAGCTAGCGGTAGCCCACTAGCTAGCTCTCTTCTCTCCTAGTGTACGTCCTCGTGAAAAAAGCTCTACGACGAAAGCAGCACCATTCATGCATAACCATTACAGTTGCTAGAGAATTGCGGATTCCAGGCTAATTTCCCTGTCAACATGCGTTCCAAGTTTTACCTAAAATATAAAGTTGTAGACGTTTTATTTTGTAATTGACAGCTAGGACTAACCTGTGACGCGAACACGCAGATACCACCCATCCTCTAGCTCACACCCCTCGGTTTGGCCACACCCACAATGAACAAAGGCCACGTTCATTACAGCGTTATATTCCTCAGTGAGAAATACAGTGAACAGCTGATACCATTACCAATAACACGCTAAGGCTTAGTTAGCATTGTTGCTATGATGAAACCTGCATATGTATCATGTGCACAACTAAAACACGAAGAACTGCAGGCAGCTTGACAAGCTATTGAATAACACACCACAGCACTAATAGTTAGGTCATATTTTTACACTTGCCATAGGCCAATTAAAGCTAGGCATTTTTTATATGAGTACTTTCTATGTGTATTTTATTTATTATAATTGGAAACTGAAAGGGTTTTACAGACAGAGACATTATCAATCCAATGTCTTTTGAAAGGAGTGGTTATTTCTGTCATTGTATGGATCTGTGCTGTTAGCTACTGAGTCATCCTCCTGAGTCAAGGTTGTCTGTCTGGTTTCCCCATCACAGGAGGCTGCTGAGGGGAGGACGGCTCATAATAATGGCCAGGAACGGAGCAAAAGGAATGGCATCAAACGCCTGGAAACCATGTGCTTGATACCATTCCAACTATTCCGCTCCAGCCATTACCACAAGCCCGTCCTCCCCAATTAAGGTGCCACCAACCTCCTGTGTTCCCCACACACTTCCCATGTTGACACTTAGGTATTTGGCATTGATTATAGGCTAGACCAGGGGTGTCAAACGTACGGCCCGCGGGCCGAATCAGGCCCGCAAACGGGTTTAATCCGGCCCGCGAAATGATAAAAAAAAAAAATATATATATATATATATATATATATTTTTTTTAAGTATAAAAATGCGCTGCAATTTTTCAATAAAATAAACTGCTGTTCCAATTGCGTCCACTGGATGGCGCAATAGCAATTGTGTTAAGCAAGCAAACTGTTTATACCGGGGCAGAGCAAGTAGGTCAAGCACGTGCAGCCAATGAGCTACTTTGTTTTGCCCGCAATATTTATTACGGCTTCTACTTATAACATTATGTGCTTTGGCACCCTCATTGCCCCAATATGTCTCTGTCAAAAAAGAGAAAAGTGGACGCAGAGTGTTCCAAGAAAAATGGTCATCCTATTTAATCACGGAATTGAATGGGAAAGCTGTATGTTTGGTGTGTTCAGAGCATGTTGCAGTGCTGAAAGAATATAACCTTTGTCACCACTATGTGAGTCTTCATGCCGACAAATATGACAACTTTCAAGGACAGCGGAGATGAGAGAAGGTGAATGAACTGTTGGCGGGTCTGAAGAAACAGCAGTCTGTGTTTACTCACAGCCGAGACATCAGTGACGCTGCAGTGAAAGCTAGCTACCTCATTGCTAATGAAATCGCAGTGGCTTCAAAACCATTTAGTGAGGGTGAATTTGTAAAAACATGCATGATGAAGGCAGCGGAGATTGTGTGCCCTGAAAAGCGGCAGGCTTTTGCAAATATCAGCCTGACAAGAAACACAGTTGCAGACAGGATTTCCGATCTTTCAGTGGATTTGGACAGCCAGTTGAAGCAAAAAGTAAAGTCATTTATTGCGTTTTCGGTTGCAATTGATGAAAGCACAGACATTACAGATGTTGCACAACTGGCCATTTTTTCATCCGCGGAGTTGATGACACATTGACCGTCACCGAGGAGTTCGTGGAGTTGGTGCCGATGACAGATACAACGACAGCAGCTGATATTTTTACCGCACTCGTCGGCGCGCTGGACAGGGTCGGAGTGGACTGGTCCCGCGCTGTCAGCCTGGCTACAGATGGTGCGCCCTCAATGATCGGGAAAAAAGCAGGCGTTGTGACAAAGTTCAGAAAGAAAGTGCAATCTGCAAATGGAGGACGTGATTTTTTGACTTTTCACTGTATTTTGCACCAGGAGGCTTTGTGTTGCAAGTCATTAAAGATGGATAACGTCATGAAGGTGGTCATCCAAACTGTTAATTTCATCCGATCCAGAAGCCTGAATCACCGTCAGTTTGACAGCCTTCTCAGAGAGAAAGACCACATCTATGGCCTGCCATACCACACTGAGGTAAGATGGTTAAGCCGAGGTGCTGTGCTGAGGCGTTTCTTTAATTTACGAGAAGAAATTGAACAGTTCATGGAAGAAAAGGGCAAACCAGTGTTAGAATTTCATTCCGCAGAATGGATGCCGTACCTTGCATTTATGGTGGATTTTACAGAGCACCTGAATAACTTGAACAAACAGCTGCAAGGGCGCAACAAAGTTGTCACGCAGTATTATGACAGCATACGTTCTTTCAAGTTGAAGCTGTCATTGTGGGAGACGCAACTTGCCGGTGGTGATGCAGCTCACTTCCCCTGTCTGAAAAATGTGTGCGCGACCCAACATGTGGCAGACATGAAGCGGTTCAAAGATAAAATAACTGGACTGTTACGGGAGTTTGAGCAACGCTTTCAGATTTATGTTTATATGTTTTTATGTTGATGTGCTATTGTTTTTAATTTATTTTATTTTATTTGTATAATTAACCTATTCTTGACTCTGTGGTTCTTGCACTTGTTTGGGGAACAGGATTTCATAATTTTTATCTACATTTCTGCCTGAGAAATGACACCCTGATATAGTTCTGTGATCTGTGAAACAGTTCTGTTAATCACTGAGGCATTGTGTGTTTGTGTGTTCTTTTTCTTTAGAATTTTCAAATAAACTTGACGTGTTTTATGATTAATAGTGATGTTGTGCTTGTACTATTTTGGACACACTGTCCTCAGGCTCCAGCTTTATGTTGTATGTTGATCGTATTAAAACAAAGAAAACAATCTGAAGTTGTTGTTTTTAAGTTATATATACCATGATTTTTCCGGTCCGGCCCACTTGGGAATAGATTTTCCTCCATGTGGCCCCTGAGCTAAAATGAGTTTGACACCCCTGGGCTAGACCCTTTTTGTAAATAGAAGGCCCTGGGCTAGAGATCCAGTGACAGAGAGAGTGGAGTGCTGAAAGAGTGAAGGGAGACAGATGACACCGGTGAAAGTAATCCTATGGCTAACAATCAAGGGCTTCAAAGATTAACCAAACATGAACTGCTAATGAGAGCAGATTAAACACCACTCAGTCGTGCAAACAATCACGTCCTTGGGAGACATAATGCAATCACATGCAATGGAAATATAAAATGTAAACTACTTCAGAATTGTAAAAACAGTAATAGGATTTTTACAAATGCTATTTTTGTTATCTAACACTTTATTGATCGTGAAATATTGCACACAGTAGCACGTGTTTTATTGACATTCAGTTTAACATTTAAGGGAAATAATGTTTCCCTTCCTGAGGTTTCATGGTCATGAGTGCAGGCAACATTCAAAACTCACCCTACAAAAACTATGTGTGAGGGGAGTGTTTTGCCATGCCCACTGTTATCGGTATGCCTAGAGAACGATACATTAAGTCCTTATGGCATGTAGTCACTTATTCCATAAAGGCTGCGTTTAGCTAAATTAGGAAAACAGTATGCTATACAGTCCATTATGGTACAGTACAGTACAGTGGTAAAGTACACTGCTTATTCCATAACATCTGCTTTCTGCTAAACTATTTTAATTCCTCAGATTGCCACATTGACCTTTGGTCATACCACAGATGTCTCCACTGGGCATGTGTTTTTATAATTACATTTAAAATGCTGAATGCCTGCTCTGTGCACACAGCCCTGTAGAATAACTGGCAGATAATTGACACCAAAGTGCTGCCTGGTTGTCTTACCATGTTTCTATTAGCACTAAGCAGTGGAATTAACAGGTCGATTCTTATCAGTTGTGACTAGATAGGCTACAGGTAAGGACGGAAGTGACTTTTCGTAGCAGGTTAGGAGAGCCTTTTAGCTAACCCTAACCCTTTTCATACAGTAACCTTAATCTAATTACCCTAACCTGCTAAGTTAATTTTCTTAACCTGCAGCGTAAATTCTACTAACCTGCTACGAAAAAGTCACTTTCGTCCGTAGCTGTATACCATCTAGTCAAAACCATTCTTATCCTTTTCTCCTGGTGCATGATGGGAGGCTGCTGTGACTACCATAGTCAAGGCTGTCAAACAGATTACATTTCAGACAAAATCACACTCAAATTGCCGGTAACACATCCTTTACACACATTGTCCCTCCTATTTTCGCAACATGCATTTCTTTAGCGTAATTAAATCCATTAGATCATGATAATAATAAGTGTGAGGGTAGCTATTTTAAGGAAGCTATTCTAGCCTCATGCTACCAAATGTATCCAGTGAATGTGTTACCTTACTGCTGTGCCAATTGTGGGTGTCCATCTCAGTAATGTTAAACAATGAATCTAAAGCACTACTAGCTGGAGGGCAGAGTAGATTTCAAGACACTATCTGAATCTTTGGGTGTGTGCCAACAGGAACAGTGAACAACTGTCAAGTTCAGGGGAAGAATAGGGAATAGAGAGTGGATTGTGTGATGTCACTGGCAAAGAGGATGGAGGTCCTGGATAGTTGTCATCCGGCCCAGGAGAAGGTTGTGGATCGGCAGGCTGAGGAGAACGTGTTTCTGAGGAAAAAGAAGAAAGGAGATGAGAGTCAAAACTATGACAGAAACACAGACATCCATAGCCTTGGCAGTGGCCTGAGGAATTAGGTGTTTGGGACTTGATTGGATTTCAGGAAGATCATCTAGAGGAAGTGGTCAGCAACTGAGAAAGAAAAGGCCCCTCCCAGCTAAAGTACTGTATATCATTA